TGTGTCTTTGCAATGTACCTTAGTTATTAGCGAGCGAAGCGAGCTTGGTTTGCGAAGCAAACCATATAAGATTGCGTAGCAATTTTCGGGGGTTGGCGAGCGTTAGCGAGCAGGGGGCGCAGCCCACTAGTTTATAAATAAAAATCAAAGATAAAGTAAATTCTCCATTCAAAATAATAATTATTGCAATTATCTTCACGGAATCATATTTAGAAAAAGATATTAAATTATGTAATGACTTGTAACCATTATGGTTAAAAAGGTTTATATATCTAACATTCTATTCCTAGCATTTAAAATTTTTGCTTAACTGATTTATAAAAACTTCATTACCCTATAAAAAATCACAATGATATAGGAAGTTCGTATTAGCTGAAATCTTTAATAATATGATAAAAACACAGTCTTTCATACAAGTAAATATTGAGTTCAATGATAAAAAAATATGTAATATAATTTACAAAATAAACAAAAAATCAAGATAAGATGAAAAAATATGTATATACAATGCATATTAAAAAATAAACTTTTTTCAAATTTACTCTTTCCATTTTAATAATTAGAACTTTAGCGCTTTCAAACAAAACAAGAGTGATGAAATGAAACAGGAGATGACGCAATCGTATCACGTGATAAGTCTTCTGAGCATGCGCGAGACAAGAAGCAGAGTCGTTGCCAACTACCGATATGAAAGACTTTGGCAACAGATAGGAAGCAACGCAGCAACAGATTTTGATCTACGTTGCCGTTGCGATCGGTGGAGCCGTTACGTCAGCATCGACCACAGTGCTGACGTAAAATATCCTCAGTGGTAGACGGATCGCGAGTAAGAGTCCCCTTGACGTCAGGCTAACCGTGGGAGGTTTTTTTCGCATGTAACGCAAATGGCAATTAGTTTAGCAGGCTCGATAGGAAAGATGGAAATGTTTCATCCATGGATTGGGTGGATTTTCTTAATTTGCCTGAGCGGAAACGTTATCTACATCGGGATGAAATTGCTCTCTTTTTTGGCAACCCATTTAAAGAACAACAAAGCCAGAATGGTCCCAAAGAAGCGACCTCAGTTCGACTACTCGCATGCTTTGTGTACTGTTTTTGACTGGCATATAGTGTTCGACAAGGTGTATAGAGGGTCAGTGATAGATGGATAGAATCATTGCGGTAGTTTTCTTCTAATAGTGTCCTCTAGTCTAAAGGTTCTCAAAAAGTCTTCTATGAAGACGAGTAGTTTTTCCAAAAGCTAAATCCAGAAAGTTTCTTTGTTTTTTAAGTCAGTGGTTTCCAAATGGTGTTCCTCGAACCCTAGGGTTCCGTGCAAGAATCACAGGGGTTCTGAGAAAAGGACTTTCGGGGTTCTGAGAAAAGGACTTTTTTTAACAAGTCATGAATTTCAAAACTTGTAAATAATTTAACTGCAATTAATGATCTATTATTTAATTAATATTTCTGTGCTTATGAAATTATTTAAGTCTTGAAGAAAAAAGCAAATTAAAAAAAAAAAAAAGTTTTTTTAGTAACAAGATATGATAATGTAAAGGATATGTATTTAGGAAAGAATATAATTGCATGGAATAAAATAACCGAAAAAGTATGTCTCTCTGATCTCAACGGTAATTTTCGTTCTTTTTTTAAATTAAGAGAACTAGACTATAGATGCCGGTCCAGACCTGTGATTTATACTATTGACCGTGATCACTCTAATATTCTTAGAATAATAATAATAAAATTTCAAACATTAAAAAATTTCTTTAATTACTATTGTTAATGAAATTTGTTTATTATGTCTTCCCTGGGTTCTGTCAAAAGAAGATCGATCTTTTTAAAGTTCCACAGTAAAAAGAAAAAGAAGGGAACTACTGGTTGTGTTTAAAACTACGGAGTTGTATGCGGTTAGTAACAAATCGGATGTAGATCAGCAGTTTAATGTTGGTTATGAAAGATAACAGATTTCGCATTAGAGTAAAAAGAAAGTTAATTTTCATTGTGAAACTGCAGTCCAAATACTTTAACAAGAACAATGGGTGCAACCTGTACCTTCATTAGCAAGGAATTGAGTTAATAATATATTCAAAATTTTGAAAGTTCAACAAATTAAACTAAACTTAGTTTATCTTTGAGTTGGGACGTTTTTCTTCCCGGAATGCTATATATTCCCATAGTTATTAAAATTTAATATGATCATTTTTTTGCATAGTTAATGTATGGTCTTAAAACTTCTGTTTGACTATAAATTTTAAAACAGAATTTGAAATGAAATTTTAAAGGAAAGTCATTATTTTTATAATGTCGGGCCACAGTTGACTAACATAGAAACAAGTAAAGAAATTAATCTCACTATATGTTAAATGTCATGTATCAAAATGTGTTATGTCGCCATGATAGTTCGCCAGTTTGGCGAGCTATCATGGCGACATAACACATTTTGATACATGACATTTAACATTAATGTTAAATGTCATGTATCAAAATGTGTTATGTCGCCATGATAGCTCGCCAAATTGGTGAACTATCATGGCGACATAACACATTTTGATACATGACATTTAACACTATACATCATTCATCCTTGAATAATGCAGACAGATAAAATTAATACCGGCTGATTTTCCGCATCATTATTCTGCCCATCCCTTTTATCGACTAACAATAACACTTTTTACAATTTAAAACAGGATTGGCCAGCTTTGACTTTGAAAGAAAATTGAATAATTAATTTACAAAAAGTACAGATAGAAAATTTAATTATTTTCAATTCATCAGTTTGCTTAATAGTTTTATTGATGTCTCAACGAAAAATGAAATTACTCACAATACAACTTATTTTCAAAAATATTAAAAAAAAATGCAAGTTGCGAAAAGGCTTGTCATAAAGTGTTGTCCACCAGTTGATTGGTTGTGTTGATTTTTAGAATATAAATACAAAATAAGGATGATGATTTGATGCATGATTTTTATTTCAATTTTTTCGCAGTACCTACATTTAAAGAATATTCTTAAATAATTTGGATTTCATATTTTTTGACTCGCTAAAACACGTATAAAATCTGCTTTTAAAATGATGAAAAATAAAAATATGCATCTCATTGTTATTGAGTTAAAAATTATTCGATAACTATAAAATGATAACTACTTAATATGCAGTATTAAATACTCGCATTTAATGTATATTATTATATTTAATGTACATTAGTTAGAAATTTCTGATTATTAAACTGAAAAACGATAGAAACATTTTAAATGAAACACGTTTTCATAGAAATCAGGTGAATCATAAATATATAGCGATGTGAGGAATATGGTGTTGATTTATTATTAGTTGCGAAAATTACGGACTATATTTAAATGAGTAGAAATTAGCCACAAAAAAAATGCTCATTAAAAAAAGAACAGAAGATGTATTAGGAAATTAAATCTTGTCTTAAAACATTGCTCACAAAAATAAATAAATAAATAAATAAAATTAAAAAACAAATTATTGAATTAGAATGTACGTTAAAAAAATTAAATATACAAAGAATAAATTGACTTATAAACAAAACGCAATATAATATTTATTATTAATACTGATATAATTAATAATCTAAATTATTACCATGAAAAGCAAACTAAAACGAATATGGTCATGCATTATTCCATTAAATTACTCGAGTTCTAATAAGGAAAAACGGTGCATAAGCTTTTTGATTTTAGTTAAAATTTTCAAAATGGATTAGTTTCATTTAAGATTTTTATTTCTAATTAGATACTTTTTACAGTTAGATATTGTTTTAAAATTTTTTTATTAAAATATTCTATAAACAATGAAAAATTCTTATATCTTGAATTTTTCTAGCTCAAAATGAAGTATTTCATTATAAAGAAATATAAAAATTTTTAGTCGATAATAGATAGGATTTATTTTAGACTTGAAGATTCTGGGACTTCATTCTTTTAATAAAAATCTTAATGTAAACTTTATAATGAAAAAATTCTAGTATTTTTATTTGTTTATTTATTTATTTTTTGTAAGTTAGATTTTATATGACGTTTTTTAAATCGAAATTTTTAAATATTTTTGTTGCGCAAAATAAGTTAAAATGAACTAGATTTATTTCAATATTATTATGTTCTTTCGGAGCCTTTTTACAGTGAGAATATCTTACATAAATACTGAAAAAATCTCAGATAAATACTGAAAAATTTTTACATTGAAAACATTAACAATAAAAACTATAAACAATAAAAAAATTCACGTATCTTGATTTTTTGCCACTGTTTAATGTAGCATATTACTAGATGGACGAATTATTGAATTTTTCTGATGCGTAAAATTAGCTTAAAATCAATTATATTCATTTGAAGATCAGGAGACTTTTCACAATCTTCAAAAAAAAAAAAAAGTATAGGTTTGTAAATCGTTCTTAAACTTACTTATCAGATAAGGAAAATCCTTCTTAAAAAAATCTTAATAAATTAATAAATGAAATGACAAGCTATAAAAATATTTTATTGTCTAATATTTTAATTTCTCTCTCCCCCCCCCCTGTATTTCGAGTTTAATAGTTATATCTCTGTAGAAAAATTATTATATGTTTTTGTATGAAAAATTAAAGTATTATTTCAAGTTTTAAAAAAATTTTCAAAAACAAAAAAAGAAGAAAATTATTACATAAACAATAAAAATTTCAACCATAAAAAATATAAACAATGAAAAAAATTTAATATTTAGATTTCGTTTTCTGTATTTCAGGTTCACTGTAACATATTTCTGGAGCAATCCATTAACAAAAAAATTACATCGAGGTGTATATTTTATAACCATACTTGGCCAAAGATAACACCTGAAAATGCATCCTTATAAATAAGATCAAAAAACCTGTTTCTTAAGGTAAGAAGTTCATTTTAGATGTGCATAGTTTTAATTTGATTTTGTATTTGTAAAATGAAGTTGGTGTGTAACAGGTGTTAGAAATATTTTGACGTATGTAAATAACAAACGGCAGATAAATGAAGTTAAATACCTGTTCCGGAAGTCTTAAAATAGAGGATGACAGCCAGAGAGCAGACGCTGGTATTTTCTAACCACTGTTAGGACTCTTCAAGGTATTCATGATGGAAAATCCTTTAGGTTTGCTTTAAAACAGACAAATGGCTCTTGAAATGGTCGCCAAGTTTACCGTTTTTGACTTGTTTCCATTATTTGACGAGAAAAACAAATTCAGGATATAAAAAAATCATCACGTTATTTAATTTGGAGTTTGTCCGAAAATAGAATAAATAAATGAATAAAATAGGCTTATTTGAAACTCTCACTTGAAAAAAATAAAATTATTTCCCTAATTATGGTTACTAAATTCAAACAAAGAAAAAAAAAATCGTTATACTATCTAATTGAGTTTCAAACTATAAAATAAAAACAAACGATAAGAAAATAAATAAATTCAAAGGATAAAAAAATAATTAAAATAAGAAAAAAAAAACTTTTTTATAACAAAAAAAAATAATTTCACTTAAAAAAATACCATGCCTTCTAATTTAAATTTTATACAAATAAAAAGAATAGAGAATAAAATTTTTCAAAATTAAAACTAATTTCATTTAAGAAATAAATTTAAGCTTGATTACAAATATTAAGTGAATAGCTTAAAATATCACCATGCTATTTAATTTAAATTTCATATGAAAAAGAGAGAAAAAAAAATCATATGAAAAATATACATTATATTTACTTATACTTCTAGATCAGGGGTTTCCAACTGGCGGCCAGCGGGCTGCATCTGACCCTCGAACCCTTTTTTTGTGGCGCGAACTAAAATATATATGTTTTCATAACGGACAATTTTCGTAAAAAATCTATAAGGGCTTAAAATACTTTTCTCGTTAAAAAATAAATAAAAGAAGAAAACTAATTTTTTTGTTATCTGTGAAATTTAACATACCAACGGTGCAAAGAAATTTATTTCTCGATTTTTGCATCCAAGAAAATATTTATTCAAATACAAAAATAATCGTGCATGTTGCTCGCTTTTTTTATTTCTTTTTTTTTTTAATTTTGTGAATATAATTTAGCATGTGCGTATCAGAAATTCTCCAATTTAGCTTTTTGAAACCACTCATTTTGGATGAAATTATTTACATTTGTAAATTTTAAAGTGCATAAAAGAGGGAAATGAATATCATGCTTTACCTAAATTCCTTGAATTGAATATCTCATGAGCGGAAAAGATAAAAAAAATTAATTTCAGATGCTCGAGAATTTTTTAGTTGTTGCTATAATTCCTAATAAGTCGAAAAAATTTTAATTTATCACAGAATTAAATTTGAAAGTAAAAAAAAATCTTGTCGCTAAGTTCCAGATTAAGAGAAGATTCAAAATGATACGTAACAAGCATTATTTGTAATGCTTGTTATTTTATTATTTTCTTTTTTTTATTATTAAAAAAACTTTTATAAAAATCTGACAGCAATAATTAATGTTCCTTCAAACATAAAAGAGTCCTATATAAAATATTGATAAAGTTGTGGCCCGCCATTTGACTGTTGTTTTTAATTGCGGCCCCCGGCCTCATGTAAGTAGGAAACACCTGTTCTAGATCATAATAAATCAAGCCATCTAATTTTATTTCGTGTAATTTTTTTTTCTTCTCTTTTTCGTATGTATTTTAAATTATTATGGTTATGGTGTTGGAAATTCTTAATCATATTTAAATTTATTTCGTGAAATATAGTGATTTTTTTTTCGTTTGAGAGCTTTCTTTACTGTTATTTTTTTCTTTTCATTTTGTTAATTGAAATTCATAAAAATTTAAAGCCCATTAAGGATACTATTTTTTTTTTACATCACTAAAATATTGAGAAATCATTATAAAAATATTTCGTTCATTTCTCAAATCATTAAATATTATCTTACATAAGTTATAAATTTTTTTAAAGACATATGTTTATATTTTTAGAAATAAAGCGGCATGAAAGCTCGACGAAGCCTTTGCGCCACTCAATGGTATAAAACCGTCATTTCTCCTGTTTCGGGAAAATGAAATATATATTAAAAGCTCCGCTATTCAGCGAAACAAAAAATTGTATAACGTTCCCTCTAATCTAATCTTCGATTTTAATTAAATAGAAACGTGTCTTGATTGTTTCATAAATTATTTGAAAAGTTAATTTTGTTAATATCAATATTTGTGAACAAGTGTCAATCTAATGAATAAACCTAAAAAGTTTTATGCATCAGATCATTCAATGTCACTTAAAGGCTCCAACAATTTGAAAAATGTTGGGAGACAGAAAAGATTTCCGCGTAAATATTAATATCTCTCGTTGTTTCCCCCCCCTTTCAAATTTGAAATTTTGTTGAGTACATTCATGCAAGGCAGTCAAATACTTACATTTGGAATGCTTATAAAAAAATGAATTTGAAATTTCTTTAAAGAAATATCAAAATAATAAGAATCTTAGTGTCATTTCGATTTCTAAATAATTTTAAAAATCCGGATATTTTGAATACAACTATTTTGGCTTGATTTTGTACTGATTTCGTCTTTTTTTTAGTAATAACTGTTTCAGATATCAACGTGGTTTTTTGAAATCCCGATACATTTAATCAGATATTATTATAAACAGGCGAATTTCGAATCGCGCATTTAAATAATATTTTTTTGACTCATGCGTTCGATTTACGCCAATTTCGTCGTAAATTCTCCCGTTTTTTTATTTGTATTTATTTATTTTATTTTTTAAATTATTTTTCGACAGTTATATTTATTAATCCTTTTAAAAAATCCTGATATTTTTACTGCGAAACGATGACGACTCTTGAATCGCTCATATGACAGAGTTGGCCGTTGATTACAGTAATCGATTACAACTGTAATTGATCACAGATAATTACAGCTATGTAATCAATTACTTGTAATCACGATTACAAGTAATCAATTACTTGTAATCGTGATTACAACTTTCAAAAAATTTTGATTACAGCTGTAATCATGATTACAATTTTGATTACAGTAATCAATTACTTGTAATCACGATTACAAGTAATCAATTACTTGTAATCGTGATTACAACTTTCAAAAAATTTTGATTACAGCTGTAATCATGATTACAATTTTGATTACAGTAATCAATTACTTGTAATCACGATTACAAGTAATCAATTACTTGTAATCGTGATTACAACTTTCAAAAAATTTTGATTACAGCTGTAATCATGATTACAATTTTGATTACAGTAATCAATTACTTGTAATCATGATTACAAGTAATTGCGATTACAAGTAATCACAACAAAAACGATTACAAGTAATTATGATTACAAGTAATCAAAATATATGATTACATGTAATCATGATTACATGTAATTTGATTACATGTAATTGTGATTACTTGTAATCAAACTATACGATTACAAGTTATTACGATTGTATACTATAGTCAAATTTTTTATGTAAGTATTCATGTGTTTACATATTTTTATGTACATAGAATGTACGCACGCATGAACGTACAATTTGCGATTCCTATACATACAATGTATGCACAAACGTTGTTTGTACGTACAATATTCATAATTATATTGTAATATACTTAATGCAATGCGCATATGCTTAGTACATATAATTATGCATTTATGATACATGTACGCATGTATGTTAGTTTGTACAAAAAGGCAATGTTTTGTATCTTTGTATACATAGACAATGTATGTATGAACGTATATGAAAATAATGTTTATGCGTTTGCATGCTTTTATGTACTTAAGTGCATATATTGTATAAATTTACGATAATAGCACGTATATACAATGTACGTTTGTATATAAAATTGTACGTATTTGCGTACAATATGTAAAAATGTTATTTAAAGGTACAATATATGCACATAGTTGCGTAAATAAAATGCGTACATGTATACATGCATATTTATATGTACATCGATATATGTGCACGCAAAGTATGTACTTATGTACAACTTACGTATGTACTTGTATAACTACATACTTTGTTAATACTTATGCGCATGTAATGCATGGATGTACAAAAAAATAGTTATATGCACAATGTATGCATGTGCATACAACGTATACATGTACATAATTACAAGTAATGTACAAATACGTGCGTACATTTAAATATATGTAATTACAATATACACATACATTGTGCATACATTAAAAAAATTTATATGAGTAAAGTTATTAAAATTTGTTTTAAAATTATTCTAAGGTATATGAAACTCGACCTCATATTTTTTAGAAAGCAAACGATAATTTTATTTGGAATTTCTAAATATTAATTCCACACATAAAATTTACCGTTTTTCTTACCATTTAAAAAATTTCTATGAATCATGCATTATGTTATAAAAAAAATAAATCTGTATTGTCAAACATTTCATGAAAATACCTGAAAATAATTTTTTATTCAGAGAATTTCAAAATGATATAGAACAATTAAAGCTGAAAACTAAATTTAAATATCGTTTGATTTTGTCATTTAACTTGCTTGAGTCATTAAAAGTTAACTTACATGCATTTTATTTATTGCATTGTACACATATTTAGACATAAATGTAATGTACATATGTATACGTGTAATGTATGTACGCATGTACAATGTATGTACATACATTCATGTATTGTACGTGCATATATAGTACATATGGATATGCATACATGGAACATACGTGTATTGTACATGTGTGGATACATTCATTGTACATATATACATTGCACCATATGCATAGATAGGGATAGCATGCATGTACACATGTAAAATTTGTACGAAAGAATTATGCCCAATATATTTATGCACATACGTACTGTATATGTACACACATATGTACATTATATGAACATTATATGTTCATTTCATCATATGTACATTATATGAATATACATCTGTACGCTATATGTATATACATCTGTACGCTATATGTATATACATCTGTACAATATATGCATCTCAAATGTGTGTATGTACGTACGTTATGCATGTCGAATGCATGTATGAATATATGTGAAATATAAATACGCCCAATGTACGTACAATAGTTCACAAATGTATTATGCATATTTGGATACTTACATTGAGCATGAACATATTATGTACATGTACATAAATACAC